ACAGATAAGAATCATGTAATTTGCTAAGACATAGCATTTTGATGTTTTCTTGTGGATGAAAGCTAATTTAGAAAGGCAGGGAGGTACACTTGTGGTTTGGGGGAGTGAGATCCAGTCCCGGGCCCTTGGAGGCCCTTGCTTCTGCTCTAGCAGAACCGGGGGCGGGTGGAGGCAGCTCTGTGGGTGTCGGAGCCCGGGGCCAGCCCACCAGACAGTCCCACCATGGAAACCAGTGCCAGCTGCAGGCTTGAGAGATACCAGGAAATGGGTTTTCAGTGCCATAGGGACTAATTCTAGAGAGGCAGACTTCAAAAACCTGCAGAATTTAAAGTCCTATTTTGAACATGACCCCCCCCCCTTCCCAGCATTGGGAATTCTCTGTTTATGACTGTGCTATATTTGTGTAAGTGTTACCTGTTTCCTGCCTGCCTTTCTAATTTCCTTTTTTAGGAAATATTTATTAAAGTCAACAGAAGAGACACTCTTGCCTTCATGGAGCTTATAGCCCAGTGGTCAAGGCAGGTATCAGCCCAGTAAGCACACATGAAGATGAGAAGTAGAAGGGGTTTGGCGGTTGAGGGCAGGGGCTGACTTGGTCTGGGGACTGGGGAGGGGGGAGCTTGACTGACATCGGAACGGGGAGCGGGAGTTCATAGGTCAAGCAGACCAGTGTTGGTGGTGATGGTGGCCATCCAGGGAGGCTGGGGGATGCAGATGGAGACAGACAGAAACAGAGGCGGTGGGATAACAATAGCCGGAGGAGCAGAGGGAGCACCCGTGCGGGGCCCAGTCCCACTTCTTTCCTTGGGTGGTGAATGTCCCCATTCACAGCGAGGCAGCTGACTGGGGCTCGGAGTTTAGGTGGCCTGCAGGTGAGGCAGCCGGCCCAAGGTCACCTAGTCGGGCAGCTGTTTCAGGACCTTGTGGTGTAAGAGCCATCGAGTCAGGCGTGTTTCTGCTCTGCTCGCCATGTGTCCCCGTGGACACCACGTCCAGTGCTCGTTTGGCGGCTCCATGGCCTCTGCTGGGCCCGGGAAGGATGGGCATGTCGTCACGTGGGCACTCGGATTGTGTCAGGAGAAGTTCTTATCGACTCTGAGCTGACTCTAGGTCTGAACATCTATGTGCTTTGGCCAAATATTTATCTGAACCAACCAGAGCAGTTCTTGACAGAAAATCAGCTACGGGGATTTTTTTTTTTGGCTGTTTTTAAAAATTTGAGACTTTTTTAGCCCAGGAAGAAGTCTGCTCTCTGCAAACAAGTCCCAACCTTCGGAATGAGGCCTGAACGCTTTCCAGATCTTTATGGAAAAGATTCCACTCTTCCGGGGTTAATTCCAAGAGGTTACTTGTTTATGTAGCACTGAGTTCGCAGGGCAGCTCGTGCAGCCCAGCTGTCTGCTTTTATACCGAGTATTGCTTGCTCTCCTGTCCCCACTCTGCTTTACCTCGTTGCAGAAGGAGGCTAGTCCTCTCCATCAGCAGGGCAGCTGTGGAGGGCTCTGTTGAAGCAGCATCTTAGCGGACTCCAGGGAAACATGGTTATTCTTGGAGAGCATGCCTTTGTTATAATGTTTATTGAATGTCCACCTCTCCAGCTTCAAGTATCAAAACTTGGAGAGATGTTTTTTGAAAGAAATCATACCCCACCAAACACTTTGAACGCCTCTACTTAATGGAGAAGAGAAAAGAACTCCTTTTCGACAGACTGATCTGTGTTTAGCGTCTTGGGTGATATGTATGTAAATAAATACTTACTTGATCTATTTATTCTACAGAGGTTGGGAATCTGGATTTCAGATTTGAGTGGGGTTATCAGAAACTGGGTCTCTTTTCTAAAAGTGTCAAGGAAGTTATTAGAAGGAGAGTTTGAAACTACCGTTTTAAATGATTTATTTATTGAATACTAAGGAGTTTTATTTTGCAATTATTTTAACTGGTACGACTGCATATATGTTGGTTGCCATTTACCTTTTTTAAAAGGTTATGTTCCATTTATAGTTATAAAATATTGGCTAAAACAACGATTTTTTAAATTATTTTTTTCTCTGGGTCTAATCCTTGCATCCCAAATCTAGTTCTTGGCTCCGGGTGTCCTGGTGGGACCAACGTGTTTGTCGCCGTGTCACTGCAGAACAGGGCCTATTTCAGTCAGTCTCGATCAGACGTTGCTGACACACAGCCTTTGCAACTTTCCTTCTTTCTATTTTGCATCCAGCCTTGGCTGGGTCTTTGTACCCTGGGTGAGAGTCCGTACTGCGGGGCTGAGATCCTGTCTGCAGAGATGGGAGGGACAGAAGGAAGAGAAATGGGGGAGGTGGTGGTGGTTGGTTGCTGTTTACGGAGTTTAGGGTTGGGGGTTGGTGTTGGCAGCACTGTAGAGGCATTTTGCACGGGCCATCCCGTTTGATCTGCACAGCTCCCTGGCGGTAGGTAGCACCACATTGTCTCCATTAGACAGATGAGCAAACTGAGGCACAGAAGTGTAATGTGGTCTGCACAAGGGCACACAGCAACCAGATGGGCAGGGGTGTGTGTGTGTGTGTGTTCACATACTTCTGGGGTATGGACTTTCATCTTTGGTCCCTACCACCACGCTTCTCTTTCCATGGGGGCAACGTGCCCATTCCCACCCTGTGTGGCCGTGTGAAGCAGGATCCTGTGTCAAAAGATTTAGAGGCTAGGGCTTCCCTGGTGGCACGGTGGTTGAGAGTCCGCCTGCCGATGCAGGGGACACGGGTTCGTGCCTCGGGCCGGGAAGATCCCACATGCCGTGGAGTGGCTGGGCCCGTGAGCCATGGCCGCTGAGCCTGCGCGTCCGGAGCCTGTGCTCCACAACGGGAGAGAGCACAACAGTGAGAGGCCCGCGTACGGAAGAAAAAAAAAAAAAAAGTAAAAAAAAAATAAAGATTTAGAGGCTCATTTGGCCTCAGCAGTCAGTCATGAGAAATTGTCATCTAGGGTCCCACTGTCCTTTTTGCGTGTTGTCCCTTGGTACTCTTTTGGAATGTGCATGTTTATAAACATGGATGCCCACTCTGGGGAATTCTGTGGTCGGCTCCAGGATTTCCATGGCTGTGGCAGAGAGGGCAAGGGAGATGTCCCTCCTGGACTCACTCCCAGGCATGTCATTCTTAGCTCAATGGGAACTGGATTTTTTTTACAACAGTCAAGCATTATAGTATATCCGGTGGGGGGGATATTAATGCAGAGATAACTTGAGAAGTGAGGGGATAAAGTGGGGCTTGGATGTAACTTCCCATTTGGCAGTTTGCATAGACCCCTTCCGTGCCATGACACCTTGCCTCGTATAGCCCTGCAGCCTCATGTCACCCCTTGTGCCACCTGATCTGCAGAGAGAGGCAAGAGTGCACCCATTTTCAACAGATGAGGAAACTGAGGTTCAGAGATGGGAACTCGTGTCCTGGGGAGCTTGGCCCAGCCCATTTTCTTTTCTTTAGCTTTCTTTTTTTTTTTTAACATCTTTATTGGACTATAATTACTTTACATTGTTGTGTTAGTTTCTGCTGTATAACAAACTGAATCAGCTATACATATACATATATCCCCATAGCCCCTTCCTCTTGCGTCTCCCTCCCACCGTCCCTATCCCACCCCTCTAGGTGGTCACAAAGCACTGACCAGCCCATTTTCTATTTGCCATTCCTGTTTGTCAGTATTTATTATCATTGTTTCATCTTTCTCATCTTCGTGGTTATAAAAGTAATACACTATGTAAGTAAAGTTGGAAGCAAGGTGATTGGAAACTGTAATGTGCATGTGGGTCCCACCCTCCCTGCGGGGAGGGGCAGTTTGGGCTTCAGCTTGTGTTATTTTTCTAAATTTATTTATTTATTTATTTATTTTTGGCTGTGTTGGGTCTTTGTTGCTGCGCGTGGGCTTTCTCTAGTTGTGGCAAGGGGGGCTCCTCTTGCAGTGCACGGGCTTCTCATTGTGGTAGCTTCTCGTTGCAGAGCACGGGCTCTAGGCGCGCAGGCTCAGTAGTTGTGGCGCACAGGCTTAGTTGCTCCACGGCCTGTGAGATCTTCCTGGACCAGGGCTCGAACCCATGTCCCCTGCATTGGCTGGCGGATTCTTAACCACTGTGCCACCAGGGAAGTCCCTCAGCTTGTGTTTGAATCCAGATCTGCCACTTACTTGCTGTGTGATTTAGGACAAGCCACTTTGCTGCCCAGAGCCTCAGTTTTCTTACCTGCAAAATGGAGCAATTGCATCTACTTTTAGCATCGCCTCAAAGTCGGGGTAGATGAGAGGCAGCATAGTGCCTGCCGTGGAACAAGTGTTCAGTTCTTGTTAGTTCTCCCCGCCCCGCCCGGCCCTATATCAGTGCTTCTCAAACTCACCTCCAGGAGACCTGAAGGCAGAAGATAATGAATTCTCACTGGAGTGCCCTAGGCTGCCGGCAAGCAGCTTGCATACACCTAAGTAAGCTGCAACATTGTAGATTTTGTGTCACTTAGTTCTGTATCTGAGCATAACAATTTAAAAACAATGTTTCAAATGCTTAAATATTTTAAAGGTGGAAGCTTCAAACTGTCTTGTAGCTTCCTGGAGTACCTCTGCACAGCCCTGGGGGGCTGGCACACACCTCCCCACAACCCTGGGGTCTACACACCCAAGCTGGTGTCGGTGCTGGAGTTGCTGTCCTTGCCTCTTGCCACACCTCGTAAGAGCTAGACCTGTCTGTGGGTAGACAGTGGATGTCCTGGAGAAATCCCATGTTACCCTCACCTTGTTCTAAAACCCTCCAGGGGACACTGCAGTTCAGTCAGATGGCTCACTTTTTCCATCCAAAAGACATAAATTCCAAAGAAGTGTTTTCAGGCGGTTCTCCTTGTTCAAGGGTTAACCAGATTCTTATTTTGCTTATCTTTGGAAATAAAACAATGTTTAAAACTATTCAGATCAGCAAGGCCATCTGGTGGGGAGTGTGCAGCTGCTCCCCATTCATTGTGCCGCCTCTAATGTATTCATTGTAGGTCCCTTGTACAGCTGCGAAATCATTATTCGCAGTTGGTTTTGAACAGTGAGCTCCGTGTCTGGGCAAGACCTGTCTCCTCCGCCCGTCCTGAAGGACATTTGGATTGGTCATCTTCCGATGTTTGGCAGCCTCCTCACTCTTCCTGACGTCACATCAAAGCAGGTGAGAGGGTTCTGGGCACCCAAGTGAGGGGGGGCAGAGCCCCTGGCTCCTTTTGGCCCTAATACTTAGTCTCTGCATTATACTTGGAACCACTTCTCCTTTTCATTCATTTTCCTATTTGTTAAGGAAGAATTGTTGGAAGGCAGCTAGAATCTACCTCTCATCTTTGTGGTCTAGTTACACAAGAGCCAAAAGGACACACTAGTCTGAAAATGTGTGACTCCCCCCGCCCCAGTAGTTAAGGTTTTTTGTTGCAGATGTTTGAATCCTTGAAAGTGTGCAAAAAGAATAATAAGAGAATTTATCAGATACCTGTGTTCCTGAGATCACTGGACTCTGTGATGATGTGTCGTACTTTGAGAAAACGAGGATGAGGGTCTAAGCGGTGCTGGGGTTTGCTTATGGTCACATGGCTGGTTAGTAGGTGTGGCAGGAGGTCCACCCAGGCCTTTTGATCCCCAGGCCCGCTCTCTGTCCTATACTCTGAGTCATGGGGGCGGCGGGGAGGAGGTGTATAGAATTAAATTCATCCGTAAAATGGGAGTACTAATTGGGCTTTCCTTTAGATTATCATGAAGTATAGACAGGATTATGCATATAAATCCCAGCCTGGTGTCTGGACACCAGAAGGCCTTCAATAAATGTAGCTCATGTCACTTTTATTGTTGTCACTAAGTGGCAAGAGCCCTGTCCTGGATTTCTGCCAAGAGTTTGCTCCTTCGCTCATTAGTTTAAGAACTATTCAGGGAGCACCCGCCCCCGTGCCAGGCATGGTTGATGTACAAGGAAATCTAGCACCTACACTGATTTGATTTCAGGCTGAGCACCACTGACCCTGTCCTTGTAGAGCTGACAGTCCACTCGGACAGTCCCCAGCTCCAGCCACACCTCCTTGCCTGGGAGACAGGGTGGCCGGTGGGCTGGGTGAAAGCTGACCTTGCAGCTCTTTGAGCCTCGAGTTCTGAGCGGGTTTCTCCCGGAGCTGCCATCTTACATAATGGTGTGGTATGGGGAAGGATCGTAGGCTTTGCAGCCAAACAGACCTGTGGTTGGAGTTTGGTTCTGCCACTGGCTGGCCATGGGGTTCCGGGGACGTTTTTAAGCCTGTGGTGCCTCAGTTTCCTGCATTTAACTTGGGGGTCGCAGTGCTGACCTCAGAGGGTTGCCATCAAGAAAGGACCTTGCGTGGTGCTTCTGTGCGTGGCAGGGGCTGGATCAACATTTGTCACCTTCTCTTTTCACCGTCCTGGAGTCACGTAAAACCCTAAACTGGGCCCGTGTTTCGAAGTATACATCCTCGTCTGCACAGAGAGTGATATTTCATTTGTAATTTCAAATGTCTTCAAACAGACTGCGCATTGCTTCCTTGACATGCTTTACGTTATAGGACTGTCCTTGCTTTCTTGCCGAGAGCCATGTAGGTGGGTGGGTTTCACAGCAACCTGGTAAGCTTGTCTCACGTAGGTTCTACTCTAATGGAAAACCACCGCCGTAGGTGTACAGGCTTGAGTGGAAAATCAAGTACCTAAATCCAGCACCAATTTACATTACAGTTACTACCGGAAGTAACAAAATGAGTGGTTAGAAATAGTTTCTCCTCCCGTTTGCTTTCAGAAAAAGAAAGTTGTCGGTTGTGTCACAAAGACCTTTAGAATCTCGTGCCCATTGAGATTGCTGGGTGACCGTGCAAAGTGAACATAGTGGCAGCCTCTTGTTCACCCTGCCGTTCTATGCATTTTAGAGAGACTGGGGCACTGTCTGGGTGTCATCCATACATCCGGTGGTTGCACGAGGGTGCTGGAGCAGGTTACCCTATGGGAGAGTGAGCCATCCCAGGGGATATTAAAAGGATCCCATTTGCCCTCCCGCCTTCAGCTGTCGGATATCCCGTGGGTCAATGAGGTGGCTCCATTGTTAGGGTACATTTTGAACCAGCGCTGGTTTCCCAGCTCTGCAGATGCTCAGGGGCTGGTGGGCTTTGGGGCTGCCCTTGGAAGGGATCTATGATTCTGAGTGTGGGCTTTTTTCTGGAGCCTTCGGAGCCCTTGTTCTGGAGTTAGATGGGATGTTAGCAGAGGACCTGGGTTGTGCATTTTTCATATTTGTAGCTTCAACAAACACAGTGCCCTGCACACCGTGGGTGCTTGATAAACGTGTGCTCACCGGTGTGGGCTACTAATAAGGAGAGTGCACTGTGTGTTTGGGGGTTAATTGTCCAGCTTTTTTGCCTAGCATAAGGCAAGTACTGCGCCCGCTTTTCAGTGCTGGCTGCAAAATTGTTGGCTTCTTAGCAGCCGGAAGACATCATAGATGATGCTACTGGGTTTTTATTAGGGAGCAGTTAATTGCAAATCATCCACTCAGGAGTGTTAGGGCTGAAAGAGGTAGTCCCGACTCCATATTTTACATACAAGGTACAGGTTCAGAGATGCAGTGACTTGTCCAGGGTTACCAGCCAGGTGAATGTCAGGTCTGGATGGGGACCACGCTTGGGAATCTCAGTTCAGGGGCCACACCCCGTGGCGCGCTGCCTTGTTGGAGACAGATGATCACTGAGAGGGGGGTAAGCTTTTCCCAGGGTACACCCACAGCTGTCCCAGGCTCTCCAGGGCTCCCCACCCTGGTTATTGAGGCACCTGAATGATCCCAGTCAGCTCTGCTTTTTAACATCTTGTTTCTACTATAAAACTTCGCTGTTATTCCTGCATCTGTGTGCCTGCCTGTAGCTGCCACCTGCCTTTGTTTCACTCATTACTTCAGATTAGTTGCAGACAGGAAAATGAGACATCTATGCTAGAACTATATATACACTGAAAGCAGGTAGCCTGGAATGAAGGCCTGAGGGCCTCTCCTATAATAATACAAAGGATACGTATCATTTATTGTGGCTTGGTGTGTGCTAGGTGCCGGGTTAAGCATTTTTCTGTATATTTTCTCATTTCCTCTTCACATCCATGCTGGGAGGAGATAGTTTTATTCCCATTTTACAGATGAGGAAGTAAAGTCACAGAATGGTGAAGTTAGTTACCTGAGATCATAAAGCTGGCACAGACTTGAGTCGAATTGAAATGCAAGTCTGCCTGAGACCTTTGGCAGTCTGACTCCTGTAAGGCTTTGTTATGACTGCCCAGAGAACGTTTTTGCTACATCCCAACTTTCTACCGAGTTGCAAATCATTTGGTTCCCTAGGCCAGATGCAGAGGAGGAGCTGGCTGCAGATTTGTGGAGAATTGGTCTCAGAGAAAATGCCTGTTTCTTAAAGATATATTTTATGTAATGAAATAAGAGTTTAGAATGTGTCTTCTAGACTGTAAAACATGTGAAGTGGTCATGACTCACAAATAAAATGTTGATGATGAACTTAATGTCAAGTATCTTTTTAAAAGAACTTTAAAAAACTGCCTGTGTTTTGTATGACACACATTTTGAGTGAGCCAGGAAGATCCTGCAGGTCACAGTTTGAGAATCCCTGTTTTAGACAAAGCAGGCAGAAGGTGTCTTAGTCATCAGGAAAGACGAAATCTGGCAAGGAAAGCATGAGCACAGGATGCAGGAAGGGCTTGCTCAAGGAGAGGAGCAAGGAGGAAATTATAGTGACTCTAAAAATAGGCAGGGAGGAAGGTTCTTCATCGGGGACTGGGGAAAATGTGGTCAGTCATCTGATAACTAAAACATAACAGCTGTGGTCCTTGTAAATACACATTTTGCCAGAAAATAACCTGATGTGTGACATTTGGGTGGTTTTGTCTTGGTTTGGGAACAGCTGCCATCTGGGTTTCCAGCTTTATTTTGGCATATCTGCTTCTGGTGTTAGCCAAAGCATCCTTCAAGGCCACAGCATTGGTTCAGTTGATTCACTGGGTCTTTGGATGAATTGCTTTGACCTGAATTGCTCACTTTACTCAGATAAAGACACTTTTTGGAACTCTTAAATGTATAATTATACCAGCTTAATTTAGTAACATCTATTGTTTGTAACCTGTAGAAGAGTGTATCAGTTAACTTTTTTTTTTTGAGTTAAGCGATTCTTTTAAATTTAATCATTTTGGTTGATAATAAAGCTTATTTACACTTGTTCTTCCCTTAATAGGAACAGAAAATAACCACCCACTATCAGTCCTATATTATCCAGTAACATCTTAAAGATGAACCAAATCTCCCTACATTTTTTTCTTTTCTTTTTTTTAGTAAGGTTTTTTTTAACATCTTAATTAGAGTATAATTGCTTTACAATGGTGTGTTAGTTTCTGCTGTATAACAAAGTGAATCAGCTATACATATGCATATATCCCCGTAGCCCCTCCCTCTTGCGTCTCCCTCCCTCCCTCCCTATCCCTCCCCTCTAGGTGGTCAAAAAGCACAGAGCTGATCTCCCTGTGCTATGCGGCTGCTTCCTACTAGCTATCTATTTTACATTTGGTAGTGTATATATGTCCATGCCACTCTCTCACTTTGTCTCCCAGCTTACCCTCCCCCTCCCCATGTCCTCAAGTCCATTCTCTACCTCTGTGTCTTTATTCCTGTCCTGCCCCTAGGTTCATGAGAACCTTTTTTTTTTTTTAGATTCCATATATATGTGTTAGCACATGGTATTTGTTTTTCTCTTTCTGACTTAACTTCACTCTGTATGACAGTCTCTAGGTCCATCCACCTCACTACAAATAACTCAATTTCATTTCTTTTTATGGCTGAGTAATATTCCATTGTATATACGTGCCACATCTTCTTTACCCATTCATCTGTCGATGGACACTTAGGTTGCTTCCATGTCCTGGCTATTGTAAATAGAGCTGCAGTGAACGTTGTGGTACATGACTCTTTTTGAATTATGGTTTTCTCAGGGTATATGCCCAGTAGTGGGATTGCTGTGTCGTATGGTAGTTCAGTTCTATTTTTAGTTTTTTAAGGAACCTCCATACTGTTCTCCATAGTGGCTGTATCAATTTACATTCCCACCAACAGTGCAAGAGGGTTCCCTTTTCTCCACACCCTCTCCAGCA